GTTTAAACCTGAATCTCCGAAATCAAATCGCTGAACTTATTCTGATGTATGAATCAACCGTAGCTCATAGCATTTCCACCAATTATGCAGCCAGTAACTTTTCCAGTTGCTTTGACCAGGGTTGCATCGTTTCGTAGGCTTAGCTTGACGCTCGTTTTTGTTTCTGAAGGAATCTTACTGTCTTCAACACGAAGCACGTAGCAAAGATTTATCATTTTGAAATATGATTGAAATGTGTTGAGCACCACCATTTCGCCTCAGGCTTTGCTTCCCCTAAGCTATAATCAGGTATTCTGCCGACTAGAAGAACTTACAACTTTTAGTTTAAAAAAAAGAGCGTGGAATTTAACTATTAAAAATAAGTATGACTTTTTTGAATACTAATAATTTTCCCAAATTCTGAAATTAATTTTATCAACATGAAAAATTTAAAGAATGGTTGGACTGGGATGCATTATGCTACCAAAGCAGGCCATCTCAATGTTGTAAAACTATTCGTGAAAAGCTCAGCAGATGCTCAAGCGGAAACAAAGGAAGGAAAGGTGAGATTTCGAAATTTTGAAGAGAGACGTGCAATCTTTTGATATCTCTTCAAAAAATTGTCCCACTGAATAGGTGATATTGCAGTCATAATCAAATTAAATTTGGAAATTATGAAATTTCAAATTTGATTTATGTCTTGCAGATCGTGGATTTTAAAAGCAAATCGTGAAAAAGATACCACTTTTAGGTACCGCTCTGTTTTGCAGCAGCGCATAATCATATTGACTGTCTGCGGTTTCTGCTAAAGCAAAAGCACGACACACATGCATTAATGGAAGACAGAAAGGTCCGAATTTTTTAACATTTTTAACGATATTTCTTGGACTTTGTTTTGTAAGCGATCTTAGTAAGAAACTTTCTGTTGTGAATATTTTAAATCAAACATTTTTAGTTCATTTTTGATTTGATGGTATGCGGCAAGACAAATGACAATGAACCGTTAAGGGAGTTCATTCTCCAGAGTCCAGCGCCAATGGATACTGCTGTCAAGTTGTCCGCATTATATCGCGAAATGAGCGAAAAAGAAAAGGTTTGCGATTTTCAGCTAATCTTCTGGAAATAATAATTTACAGTGTTTTGTGTCTCTTAAAAATTCCATTGTTTTTTGAATGTTCGGAAAGGGCAATTCAAATGTCTGCCTAACTAAGGCTACGTGAGACGAATCTTTATGAGCTTCGATGACGAAGAGAGGAAACAATGGTACCAGGAGAGAAGTACTGCACAAATAGGAGCTCGGAATACATGATTAGAACTAGCCAGGCTGTGAGATCGCTCTGACAGTTCTGAAGGTTCTAAATAAACCTAAAAGCTCTGGAGGGCTGCTCTGAAGAGTAGCAGTCAAATTAAGAAGTGGCCAGTACAACGCACACTGTGAGCACTAACTGAATTTATGCAGAACATAATCAAAGGCTTTGTCGAAGAAAACCTGCGAAAAGAAAAAGTCGGATGCACACTGTTTACCAAAGGCAGTAAAAAGGAAGGTTATCATCTGCCTTTAAGAGCAGGTACATAGTAAATGTGCTGCCAGACTGAACTAAACACAAGGAGAGGTGGTGTAGTGGGCAGCACATCGCGTCCGGATGTGATAGGGAATGGTTCGATTCTCTATCGGTTCAGAACCATTTTCGGAAAGAGGCTTTGTTCAAAGCAGGCCGGACATATTGTTTCGGGCGTGTTGAAGCATCTCAGTAAATCCCTTTAAGCGTAAGATACACACGCTGATACTCCTTGCATTTTGCTGCTTGTGATTTTTTGAAAAAAGCTTGTGGAGGTGCCTTTACAAATAAAGAAGGATTATTAAAAAAAGAAACAATTTTTCTTGTGTTTTTAATATTCGTTACTAAGAACTGTAGATTTTACAGTGCATCGAACTATTGAAATTAAGGGAGCTTAAAAATGCTGGTGATTTTCAACCTTGATTGTGAGGTGATATAAGGCTAAACTTTTTTTTTTAAATCATCTTTCCAGGAACGTGCCAGAGATTTGCTAAATGTGTCTGAGTTTGCCGAAAACATGGCGGTTGAATTACTGGGTATAACAGCAACCGAATACAACGCCGCACTGTTGTTAAAGGCAAAGGACAATCGTGGACGCCCTCTGCTTGATGTGCTCATCGAAAATGAACAGGTGTGGAATTTTGTGGAGCAATTAAAAATCTAAATATATTTTCCATTTGGATAATGCTAGCACAATTATATATCTAATTAATATGTGCAGAAAGTTTGAATTACATTTATGTCTGGTTTTTATGCGTTTTTGCATATATGTAAATTGCAAAAACGCATATTGGGAAGAGGCTGTCT